CCCCCCCCCCCCAAAACTGAAGTCCGATATTCTCAATCGTCAACAGAAGAAGGTAATGGCGGATTCAACACGATTCAAATGTGTCCTCCACTGGAGTTGTCAAATGTGCTTTGTCCTCAAAGTTAGCTCGTCTTGTCGTCAGATTTACCCAAAACGTAAGTCATCCATTTTAAAAAATTTTATTTTCGAAATTCCATGTTTAATTAAGGAGAAATTCTGATTTTGATGCATTCCTTCACCAAGTTGAGTAATGTGCGAAAGAACTCGAGAAAATACTGCAATACAACACACAAAATGTCTTAAGAAAAGGAAATGCAATAGTTTCAAAACGATATCACTCTCTCAGTTTGATACGCCCCCCCCCCCCTAGAAAAAGGCAAAATATAAGGCATCTGAGAGTGCCAGTTACAATAAAATTCCACTGCCAATTATAATTCGTTTACATAGCTTCGTTGCCCAAAGCTAGCATTCCAAACACGATTTAAAGTCTGCTTTACGTTCACATTGTCTGTGCAGCGATTGTTCCATTTACAATCTTTGTAAGTCTTACCGTCTTGTTCTTAGAACGAACCGAAGCCATTTTCAAGGTGATTCCGCTCCAAACGCCTGAAGCATCGAGCCTCACACTTCCAGCCACATGTGTTTATACAGTTTATAAACAGTCTTACCTTTTTCAAATGAATCATTTGAACGTTGTCAGTTCAGTCTTCTCTCATTTCATTTTTGCGAAGGACGGATCAGTGAGAGAAAAGCTTTCTATTGATTGACATTCTAACTGTAAAGCTCTCGCCTGATCTTAAAGTCATCAATTGGATTCTCTCAGTGCACCAACTCTTGTAGAGTTTGCTCAGTGGACCTTGTCACGGTTAGTGCCGGCCCTCTGCGGAACTCCTCCCCATATTTCCCCCAACAACACTCATTAACGTTCGCCAAAGAAACACGATTCAAGAAACGAGGTGAGTAGTTTTTGAGACTCACATGGAGCACGTGGAGACGTCTAGACAGCCGGGGGATGAACTCTACAAGCTTACACTGAAATGTGGGGGCAGGGTGGTGTCGCTGTCTCAAAATGAGTAATTTGTAGGCAAGGTTACTGTCAGTCATGTATTTGAGTGATCCTGTGTGTGCATCCAAAGAGCGGTTTTTAATACAGGGCCCAAACAGAAAAACTTTTTTTATTACTGGGTCAAGGTTTTTTTGAAAAAGTATGTTTGTTTGGTGGCTGGCCTGCAGAAGTGCCATGCAAGGTTTCGTGGACATAGGTAAATTCCTCAATGAGCTAGACTTTTTTATAACGGGGTCAGAGGAAAGGGAACATGCTATAGCATAGAAATGGCCATGCGTAACCAATTATAATTATTGTAATAATAATAATAATAGTAATAGTAATAATAATAACAATAGTAATAATAATAATAGTAATAATAATAATAATAATAAAAAGAAGAAGA